ATGGCTAACAGCACAGATGGTACTGATCTCCATAAAGTTGGAGTCTTTTTCTGAAAACGAAGCATGGTCCCAACAAAGCACAGCAAGCATCCGTTTTGAAAACCAGGTTTAGAAAGATTAGGAGGTATTTTCATCTATTCTGAAGAAATGCCTCCCAGATTTTCCTTCCGTTCCTTTAGCAGCTCCCATTCACAAACTATTTCTTTTTCTTTTTTAATCAGACTTTTCTTTCATAGAAACTGTAAGTGAAAGAGAAGCCAGCTGCAAGTGAGCAGAGTCTTCAGAAAAACTGAAGAACTAGACAAGTTGAAGAAAATAAACAGGAGACCTGAAATTGTTCCCATCTAATTAGTCAATCAATTTAAAAAATAATTTTTCTCTCTCTGTTTTTTTAATAATCTGTAACCAAACTTCAGTTGCAGTTGACTGAAAGATACAGTATTTAAGAAAAATATATTCTCAGGATGATGGGTGGAGGTGGGAAATAAAGGAACAAAAACATATAAGTTTTTCACATGGAACAGGAATAGAAACTAAAGCACAATATTAAGTAGTATCAGAAGGAGATTGAATATTATACTGCCAAGCAACCAGTCTGGTGTGCAGAATTCTTGGAAAAGAAAATGAGAGGAAAGGAAGAGAATTCCCACAATTCCTAGTGCCACCACAAGGAGAAAACATTTTTTCTCATGTGTTTATTTTCTGACAGCCTAATTTAGGTGTTGGAATGCCATTTTCTTCCCTGAACATTCTTGCTTACTCAGTCTGGGCTTTAAATAATAAAATATATGTCAAACTGAGTTCAATTCCTGGTAACTTCATAGATACATCCATGTAGTTTCCTGGCAACAGGGCAAAAGTGATTTGTCAAGGCCCTCTTATGGGATGCCTTTTTAACTTTCAACTCTAGTATGAGCTCTGAGATTTCCTAATAGTCTCCCATCCAATCCTACATGCTTAGCTTTCAGCAGAATAAAATTGATATTCATATATATGCAAAACTGCTTAGAGATTTTATAGGAATCAAGCTATTGTGTTCTGTTCTACTGATGATTTCTAGAAGATGTTCCTCCAACAATTAAGCCACAGATTGCTAGCAATGTTCATATTAACTGAAGTACAGGAAGTCCTCATTTAGCGACTGCCTCATTTAGCGACTGTTTGCAATTTCAACTGATGAAAAAATAACTTTGCAACCAATCCTCGCATTTATGACCTTTGCAGGTCTGTAAAGCAAAGGAAAGCTGAATAAGATCATAAGCACAGTCACGGTTTCAGTTAGTGACCACTTCACTTAACAACCAAGTTGCTGGTCCCAATTGTGGCCACTACCTGTATTCCAATTGAAAATGGTATTGAGGAAATTGCAAAAAAAGCTCCTTAGTGTTAAAAGGGTATATAGCAATTCCAGTTCTAACTTGGAATGGCTATATAGCCTTATAACACTATCTTTTACTTGACAAGCTTCAAAGTTGTAAAGAGAAATGATTACATATTCAGGAACAAATATAATTTCTCAATTCAATTCAAATGCAAGCCTACCATACAGATTACTTTACAGATTACTTTTGTTACATGTTTATATAAATTGGAACAGTTTAGACATATTCTGTTCATTACTTCTATAATTATTAGATAGAGAATCCATGATTTATGGATATATTTAGAATCCAAAATAGATTGCACGATACATAAAATGTTGCTGGACTGCATCTGGGTGAATTTAAAAAATGTCCACATTTTTTTCACTATAGTAGCCTCGAAAGTATGGCCACAAAAATGTATTGGTCTGTTTAAGAACAGATAGAATTGCAGGAAGGTACAATTTATTTTTCAGCAGAATTAATTCTATGCCTGGTTTACTTAGAAACAATTTGCACGTTACTGGGAAGATAGGAGCAAAGTGCCTCAAATCTGGCATGACTAGGCAGTAGCAGTGAAAGAGAATGAGGTGTCCAGGCTTGACTCTAGAGCCCAAACCGAAGATTGTTTCTTCCTTGCATGTAATTCTATGGCAGACAACAAACCCTTAAATGCAAGCCTGCCTTGCATTTTACAGATTTGTTCTGTACAGATTACTTCTGTTACATGTTTATATAAATCATACTTGCACTTCAGAAGCCCAGTGAATGTTTGGAAGGCTGGCCGTCCCGGTACAAGTGGGCCCTATTCCTGCATTTCATTCAGCGTGCAACCCAATCTCTGTTACATTTATTAAGTAAACAAGGGTAAATAACAACTTGCTGACAACAAACTAAATATAACATATCTATAATCCACCTCACAGTTCAACAGCCCTCACATAAGCTATGGGTGGAAACGTATTATGCATTTCTCAAAACAAATGTCAAATTTTTAAGCATTTTTCAGACTAAAATCAAATTGCTAGGTACTAATATCTAGCTTGTAGGAGTTTGGGAATACTGAGCATCTGCAGGAAAGCAAAAGAAAAGAGTCCACATATATTATAATGTTTAGTATACAATTTTTTTTGTATAACATGCACATTTGAAGCACAGTTTTCTCTCATTTGGGGATGTTTACCTAACAGAGGTCTTCCTGCAGATTTCATAGGATTTCTCCCAGAAGCCAAAGGAAAACCACTATCTGACATTTTATTTGTTGGTGTCTGATTTTTCTGTAAGAAGTCTGTGGCAATATGCTTCAAACCAAAATTACAATTAACTAATAAAAAGTTAATGGAAATGTTTTTGTTTAGGTAACTTGGTAAGAGTAGGCTACCAAAGATATTGCTAGATGTTGCCCTATGTTTCCAAATATTTACATACTACTGTGTAGGAAAATGCTACCTAACCTACTACTATGACAGCAAACAAATGTCACAGGTGGGAACATGACCTTGAGATTTCTAATACAGTATTAAGGTTTTCTCTGCATGAAATCATGATGGGAATTATGCTGGTCACATTGCTCCGAGGACCCCCTCTGCTGGCCACCGTACAGAGCCATTCTAATCAAAGCTCTTTAACAATTCCATAAATGATTATGACTAAGGAGAAAGGAAACATAGCACAGATAGAGAAGAAAAGGCTAAATGAATTCCCAGTATCAATTCTGGGCCAAATACTTTTCATAACTCTCTTATGTGTGAAGAGAGTATATTTCACGTGTTAACAGATAAAGATGTTTATGTGTTTTTCAGTAAAGCACATTGCCATTTTTAACATAAGTAAGCATTATCTGGAGGCATGGAACACATATTCCAATGTAAAAGCCAAGAAACTTTAATCTAGAAACAAATAAATAGATTATAAATATCAACTGCTACTGCATTTGATGGTTTCACTCCATTTTCCTCAGTTTTGTCTCTTTAACTGCAAATGTTATATTGCTCTGAAGCAAATCTAAAAAAAAACTATCAGCGCTGTCCTAAAATTAATAAACATGCAGTTATTGAAAGGAGCATACCAATACAATCTGGAAATGATACTCTTGGGTTTGTACATTTTTTGAGCTAGATGTTTTGCTAATTTTAAAACCCTGTAATATGATACGCTCCAGGCAATGTTCTTTTTCAAAGAAAAAAAACAGGCAGTCAAAGTGAACATGAGCATTCGCTTCTGCTTTTGATTAACTAACTTAATGATTTAGTAAAATGACAGAGAGCATAATACAACATTAAGACTTATCTGTACCAGGTCTTTAAAAATTCTTTTCATGCTACATGCAGTGGGATATTATTTAATTATTTATTTTGACCTCTGCACTAGGATTTAGGGTTTTTACTACAAATCACACTATGGAAAAGCCTAAATGTTCTTAAATAGAGGAGGCTGTCACATACATAATCACACCACATGTAGCTAAGGTGCTTTTTACTATTGCTTGCTTGTTTACTTCAGTCTCTTGTTCAAAATATTGACTGAGCAAGCAACAGGCAAAATTGTAAATACAAACAAAACATGGAGCTGTACCAAATCTACTGCAAAATACTTGATCAAACAATTGTATAATCTGCATACCTGATTTAAATGCAGAACCCTCATACATAGCCAGACAGCATCAAAAGAAAATAGTTGTACTTTTAGCTTATTACATGAATACTTGATGCATGTGCCTGAATTCCCCTATGATATTCAGGCATCTTGTGACAAAAGCACCAAAGTTGGGCTGGGAACAGTTATATTGCACTGCAACGTTAAGTTTGCTAAATAAAGTGGACTCTAAACTTCACTTTGATAGGAGCAACTGCATCAATGTGTTTGTTATAGAGGTCAATAAAGTGCATGTCATTACCACCCGCAACACGCTGTTGGGCTTTAACATTTCTTCAATCTCAAAGGCATCTCTGGTTAGCAACTAGGATATGTATTTCAATGGATGTTATGTCCACACTTTAAACAACAGAGCAATGTCTGATTGCTGGAAGGGAAGAGACAAATGGTGCCAATTTACAGATGATCCAGTTCTCCTTATTCAAAGAACTATCTCTGATTTCTATAAATGAACTCAGTTGGTATTTGGAGAGAAAGGCTCAAAATAAAATTCCAAGATCAAACACGCATAAACACTCCTCCAGTGAATCCTGGATCTCAGAAAGTGGGGAGGAGGCAAGAACGTAAAAAACTCCACAGAAGCTAAGAGGCTACAACGTGAGATACAGAAAGCAAAAGCAAAAGCAGGATCACCTTCAAGCTTTGAAATTTTGGGTATATCACAAAGTTGTCTTCCCCAAGCTGGTGCCCTCCAGATGTGTTGGAACTACAACTCCCATAACTCTCAGGTTTTGTGGTTAATGGCTGGGAATTCTGGGAGTTCATTTTATTTCTTTTTTTATTGGTAAGATTTTTAAGCCCCTTCACTCCAGAGGCAGTGTACAAAGCAATTGTTGTCCCCAAATTTCCACAGAGCATCACCCTAGGGAAGGCTGCCATGAATAAAAGCTCTACCCAAGGAACGTCATGCTTAGATGCTTCAGTAAGGCCACCAACTCTCCGCCTGGAGCATGCCCCTCCCGGGCCAGCCGTCTCAGCCCTTACCACTCTGCCTGAAAACCTCTCGATGGCCCTCTTGACTTTGCCATAGGTACCCTTGCCCAGCGTTTCTTGCAACTCGTAGCGATGTTTCAGGTTGTGCTTGTGATGGTGCCTCTTGACCCCCTGCTGCTGCTGCTGCTGCTTCAGCTCCTGCTGGGCAGCGCCGAGGCAGACGGCCTTGAGGGCCGAGGCAGCGGAGCCCCCTGAAGCGGGAGCCTCCGCTGCGGACTCTTCCATAGCTGCGCCTGCTGCTTCACCGACAGTCCGCGCAGCCTCCTGGCAGCATTGCTCGGGAGCGTCTGTGCTGCTGCCATCCAGCTCGGTCCTATCCATCTCCCGCTCGGCAGGCGTGCGCCGAGAAGGCACTTCGCGCAGCGCGGGAGGAGCCTCGGCGTCCCTCCCTTCAGGCGTGTTCCGCAAGGGCTGCCCCCATTTTTTCGGGGCGGGAAGGGAGGGAGGGAGGCCGAGGAGCGCGAGGCCACAGCGCCGTCCCCTCACCCCCTGCTGGGGTGCCTGAAAGGCATTCGACAATTACTAAGGCGGGAATTTGGGGACGGTGAAGGCGGCCGGCCGGAGGGGCCTCGGCTACACCCGGTGCTTTGGCGGAAGGCTCTTTTCAGATGAAGAGGGGAAGGAAAAGAAGCCGCATCCCCCTCCTCCGTCTTCTTTCTTTCTTTCTCGCTCCCTCTTTCCTTCCTCCGGCCCGTGCGCCTTTACGCAGCCGCCTCAAAAAGGGATGCGTTTACTCTAAACGCGTCCGGATTGCGGTCTTGAAAGCCCAATTTCCCCGGCGCTTGGTCTTAGAGGAAATTTAGCGGTGGGGGCTGGGGGCAGGGGCGGCGGGGTCAGACCCCCGAGGCGACATAAAGCAGCGCAGAGCCGCCTCTCCCCCTTCGCGCTGTTAGCGAAGCGGCGGCTGATTCGGCCATGAGAGGCGCTTGGGAGAACTCGCCACGCCTCGGCGACTCCCAGCGAGCCTCTGCGGGGCGGCCGAGCCGCTGCGGCCGCCCGCGCAGTGCCTGGGCTGGGATCAAGGCGGGCGGGGCGTGGAGAGAAATCGCCCTCGGAAACTAACGGATCGGGCAGGAGCCGGGGACCTCCCCTTCCGAGCCTTGCCTCCGATCTGGGCGGGCTCTTTTGGGGCAACCCCCGCCGCCGCGCGAGAAGGCGGGGGAGCGACGCGGTTCGGGGTTGGAGGTTGTGCGAAAGGGTGTTGCGTTATTCTGCCCGGATCCGCAGATAATTTAGGGGCTTTTCTTCAGAACAGGCTGACCTCCCTTCGCAACGAAGGACGCAGTTGTTGCGTGCCTAAAGCCGGGGGCACCTCTCCGCCTTTGCGGGTGCGCATCTGTGTCCCAAGAGAGCCTCTCGGCTCTGTAGATGTACGTGGTTATGGAGAATACAGATGGAAACAGGCATTTGATGACAGATTTTGGAGGACCTCCTATACAAAAGGGTATATCACACCCACATGTGCCCAGACGTGCCCATCAGAGGGGTGGGGTTTCTTTCTCCTTCCCAGTTAAAGGAAAGAACCCTCCATCAGCATTTATACCTCAGATCCATGTCTGAGGTTATCCACTGTAAAAAAGTATATAACATGAAGACGATCCACTTTTATCTGTAGGATCCAACAATTTACAAAACGTTTTGTTGCATATTTTAGAAAATGTGTCACAGGTACTGCATGGGGCAGTCCATTACTAGAGATAATGTTGCCTCAAGACGGATCAGGGACATTTTGCTCCACTCCAATACTGCCCAGATCCCCTGCTGTCAGTACCATCTCTTGTACTCAAGACACACACGCACACACCCGAAGGAACACATCCAATAATGTTTGTCCTTGAATGGGTAACTTACTTGGTTCCTCTTCCATAAATAAGGATTGAAAATATTTATGGAATATTTATGGAAAAACAAGAGGGATCTCCAGAAAGGATGCAAAAGAGGGTATTCTCTGTAGGAGCTCCCATCCAGTGGAACAACTAACCCCAGATAGGAGAGTGCCCCCTTTCACTCATCATTGATACATCCTGGCTGTTCTGAAAGGCCTTTGGGGAACCGAATGGATTAGTGGTATGCGGTCTAAAGCACCATGGTGCCATCTATTATATTATTGCACTGCATTGCATTGCATTGGAATCTTGTGTTATCTTAATTTATTATAGCTAATTTATTGTCCTGTTTTTATATATATTGTACACTAATTAGAGTTCGTTGGGACTGAAGAGGTATATAAGTTTGCTAAATAAATGAATACAATTGTAGCTCTAAGAAGAGTTCTCAAGTATTCTAATCACTGGAACTGTGATGGTTCCACAGGCCTTCCCATCATACTGAATGGGTGGATTTTCATTTAGGACAGGTAGCCCACTTATACCTAGCTGGACAATCAAGGATGCCGCTACAGAGGCCCTTTGCTTTAGCCTTCAGAAACGGGTCAGTGTGGGAAGAAGTTTGTCCCTTGCAGTTTTGAAGCCCTCCTTCCCTCCCTGGCTTCCCAAGTTTTGAAAGTGCTTGAGAGGTGCACAGATTTGGCACATAGATTTTCCCCAATTTATTTTAGTTTATTTTATTTTAGTTTAGTTTAGTTTAGTTTAGTTTAGTTTAGTTTAGTTTAGTTTAGTTTAGTTTAGTTTAGTTTAGTTTAGTTTTGCAGGAGAGGAAAACAAGTTAACTGGGGAGGCAGAAAAATCACTTTCTGAGAAACCAAAATATGGACTTTCCAGTCATATTATTATCACTTTCTTGATATGACCATTTATTGCAGCCTTCGAACATGAATGATGTGGGGTGGACCCTGTTTGCTCCCTCATCCTGTGGTTTTCTATTTAATCATCAGCACTTTCTCTCAGTATCCCCCCACCTTCCTTTCAGGTCACTTATGCTCCTAATGGAACAATTGAAGGATTTTGTGAATTAAACCCTAACCGTCTTTGGCTATCAAATATATTTAGGGAAAGACCTCTTTAGAATTCCTAAATTAGATTATGTACTCCCCTCCCTTTGCTATCTGTTTTTATTTCCAATTATAGTTTAATGGGACTCTGAATAAGGAACAATCTAGCAGATCATTAAGCTTTAAAATATTAGCCATATACGTATATCAACAAGCTGTAACTTTTAGAACATTACATTTTTGCCCTGATTTGTTTCAGTAATAAATTTTTCTCACCAACACATCATTAGCTATGAGTTGGAGCTACCAGGCTTTCACTCTTACCAATATATATTTTAAATCTTCAGGAAATATACATTTTCTTCAGCACTCTTTTTGCACTCCATATATCACTCTCTTTTCCTGCTTTAACTGCCTTCCCAGAAGAAGAACAAATTTGCTGCCATGTTCTAAAGAAACTTAACCTGCAATATGTAGCTCAGTATTTCAATTCTTGTATTTTTTTTTTGCAAGGCTAACTTTTTTTTTCTTTAACAAATATACTCTGTACTCGAAGTGTCCCCCCTTAGCATAGGCTATGTTTGAGCCAGTTCCCCATATATGGAACCCAGGTTTAGTGAGAAGTCATTCTGTGGGAGAGCTGCATATGAATTTGATCTCAACATAGGGAGTTACATGAAATGGGTCGCTAAGACAGAGTTTTGTGTGGCTGCGTGGACACCCAAAGAGATGCTGCAAAGAACAACATCCATCAAGAGCCCTGTGGCAATCGGAACTTTTTGCTGACAGAAAAGGAAGAGCCAAGAACCTGGCTCTCTTGTGCATTTTCAAAAGTACAACCTCCACCCCTACAGATTCACCCTCATCTTTATGTGTGAAGATTTGTATCAAAAACCCAGTGAATCTGCTTGGATGGAAATCTGTCCAGAAAGTAGATTGGATTTAAATTGATCTGCATTTCTCTAGCCACAGCAGGAAGGTTTTAACAAAAGGATTAAGAAAAAAATAGGATTTCTTAACCATCTGAGGTATTTTGGAAAGCTGTAAAAATTATCTCACAGGGCATCACAATGAAAATGGCAAAAATAGTGATGATCAATAAGATATGTTGTCTTATAATGTCACCTTTGAGATGGGTGAGTCATGAAATAGTGCATCTAATAATAGTGTTATCTCATGATATAACTATAGGTCAGGAAAAGTCTTCTTTCTGTAAGTCAGATGCCTTCAGCGATTTCTAGAGGCAGTTGCACGCAACGTGTAAATAGACTGTCCCTAAAACATGATAACAGCAGTGGAAACCTTCTATGGTAGATGATTCATACAAATAAGTTATAGGAGAAAGAGGGAAACAGGCAGAGAATTTGCATGCATTTCTCGGAAAGGGAGGCTGAAAATAGTTGCATGAGAGATTACATTTTATTTTTGTGCAAGGCTGAAATGTAAACTTCTTTTATATATTTTATATGCTGTTTATGTGAAAGCTACCAACTAAACTACTTGAGTTTATGCCCTGGAGATTGTGCTGATCCCAAAGAAAGACAAAACGGATCTGAAAGATTCAGGTTTGAACTATTTATTATTCTGGTAACTTCAAACAATGGTTGCTTTAAAAACTTTAAATGATGCATTAGAGAGTGGTAGAGCATCAGAAGGTGGGGGGTGGTCCTAGCCTGTCACCTTCCCCTGGCTACCCTTGCTTTGAATGTTGGGATTCAGCTTTTGGGGGGAAAGTTTATAAATCCCTGATGGAATCTTCTTTGATAAAACAATTGTGTCTTCCCCATTTCTCCTTCACCTTCTAAGATAGCAGAAAAAAAAAAAAAAAAGATGGAACCTGTTTAGGGTCCAGGAGCAGTTTAACCCATTTGCATCCCCAGTGAAACTCTTTTAACAACAAAAATGGCTATGATACAAGGGAAGCTACTTTTCGAATCATGTATGAATTTGCCCCCCCCAACAGCTTGTAAAATGGTATGTTGTGTACTCTCCAAATAGAAATACCAGACATGAATATTGCCTGGTTGTGCTTTATTCAGAGTTCCTAAAACAAACTTCCCCAGGGATATTCACAATGTATGGTCAAAAAAAGTCATGACAGTGTGACTGAAGGTCCTCCTGTTTTTTATGTGTAACGTCTGGCCTTCTTTCATTGTGGTTTCCAAATGTACTGGCTACCATCTCCCATCATTCCAGTGGCCAGGCTAGCTGGGGATGATAGATGTTGTAGTATAACACATTTTTAAAATGCCTAATTTGAGAAGCTCTTTGAATCCCAAATATATGTTGCATTAGTACAAAACTACAAAACAGATTGTTGTGGCACGTCATCTTAGGCTGATATATACAAATTATGTAGCAAATATTTACTGCTCTGCTACTTCAGAGAAAACAAGTAAAGAAAAGTCAAAGTTTGTAGAATTTCATTCCTTGTTGGTCAAACAGTAGCTCCACCAAGTGGTGAACATTATTATTTTGGGCCAAATGCATTACAGAGAATTTTACTAATATTTTGACATATTGGAGGGTCATAGCCGCTTTCCATATAAAATGGCCATGATTTTGTGCAACTCAAAAGAATTAAAATAATGTAATTAAAGGGAAAGTCAAATATAATGTGACGTTAATAAAATCAATGAATGCAGAACTAAGAAAGGCAGATAAGGGAAATACATCTCATAGTACCTCCTCTCTTTTTTCTGTTTGGTTTTTCAAGAGTATTAGATACATTTTCAAAATTGAGTAAGTTATATCAAATTTTGATTGTGACA